GGATCGAGTCCCGCATCGGGCTCCCTGCTCAGCGGGGAGTCTGCTTCTCCCTCTGACCCTCCCCCGTCTCATGCTCTCTCTCTCTCTCAAATAAATAAATAAATAAAATCTTTAAAAAAAAAAAATAATAATAATCTTTAGATTATTTCTTGATGCAATCTATACTCCCAGTGCCTACCTTACTAATTCTCATCCATTTCCTTTGAGAATCTAACATCTTAGTGGATATAAATTTTAAGGAAAAGAAATCTCAGATACCAATGTTATGAGAAACCATTTATAGAAAAGGACTTCTTCCTCTGATCTGCTCTTCGCTTTACGAACTTAGGACAGGTATTCAAATTTACCTCTCTTTTATTTTCTGCAGTCTTTCTGGGTCTCTTGAAGGTGCACTTTTAGTTTTATCACTTTTTCCATCAGATGAACTCCAACCTGAAGGAATAATATCTACAGTAATCATGACATTGTCGGTCAAATTATTTCCAAGTGCTGGGGGGACTGCAAATCGAAATAAGGAACCAGGAAGGACCCCCGTTATTCCTGTATTTCTTCCACTGTGGGCTGAATCTGATGTGGAGCCACCTGTAGCAGCATTACTCGAAGCTGCAGATGCTTGTGATCTGTTGGCAGTAGCCCCAAGGGGATCACTCTGTGCTTCAAGGTGAACCACTTCATTTGATTCTCTTCTAAAAATATGATGAGATCTAGGTGGTATATCAGAGGTAGGTATCCTTGAAGATTCATCTCGTCCCTCTCGTCTCCTTCTAGAGAACAAAGGTGTGCATCTATTTCTAAGTGAGGAAGATAACCATGGTCCTGTATTTCTACCTTCAGGTTCTTGGTTAAAATTTTCTGAATCTGGCTCAGAGCTATGATTTTGGCTAAGAGAGGACAAACCCCATCTTCGCCTAAGAAATCGAAATCCCTGAGAAGCTTCAGATGCCCTATTATCGGGAACATCAGAAGTTGATGCTGCATTGCTACGAGACTGTGAAGCTGTCAAGATTCTTGGAGACACGTAAGAATTTTCAGAACTCAATGATCTTGTATTCAAGGAATCCTGGCTAGATCTTCGTGAAAAAAAGGTAGATGACATACTAGAAGCTATACGCGACAGCAATCTCCTGGTCGAACGTCTACCTTCGTTGTCAGAAGATTCTTGAAATGATCTTTGAGATGAACCAACCCTATCTGAACTGCTTGAGGTTTCATCTCTATTTGAAATATAAGAAAATCCAGGTTGTGTACTGCTTTGGGGAGATTCCAATTCTCTTGGAGAAGAATTTGATCTTAGAGAATTTCTACTAGAGTCCCTAGAACATGGTATGGTCTGATGTTCAGAAGGCATTTGGTGGTTTGTGGATGATGCATTCAACTGTAAAGTGCTCACTGAGTTATCTTTTGGTCTTGCTCCCTGTGAATATGAAGAAGGAACTCTGTCTTGAACATCTATTTTTGAAAGAAAAGAAAGATACCAATTACGTGAAATAAAATTTGAGTATTATTAAATTTGCATTTATTAACTAATTACTGTAAACTGAAATACTGGATTCAAACCAAATACTGCTATATTATAAATATACAGCTTACCTCTTATTATAGGGAAAAAAAGTAAATACATTTCTCTTTCTATACCTTTGATAAAATCCAGTACATTGTAAACTGAAAAGAAAGAAATGTGTCACAGCTTATGAAATAAACATCTAAATCTACTCACTTGTTGAAGGTATAACAGTCTGAATTTGTTAATCAGAAATTGATATGATAAAATAATATCCAAATGGACAAGGATTTTAAATGGGCCAAATAATTCACTGTAAATGACTCTCACAACAAATAAAGACAAAATAATCTAGGGAGACAGTGTTTTGAAGATTCTTCTTACTCTGTAATAAGCATAAAACTTATTTCACACAAATATTATCATCCTTATAATTTTATGGCAAACCTTGTTACCAGCTAAAACTTTCTCCAATCTTTTTTCTTTCAAATTAAGAGCAGTGGATGTTATCTCTGGTTACTCATCAGAAATACCTCTACTTGCTCGGTGCTGGGTCAGAATAGCGCCCTGGTAGCTGCAATTTTGAAAAGTATACTACTGGTGGTTCAAATCTTGAAATGGGATGAGAAATATTTTTGCCTTCCTTTATAAGGAATACTCATCCATACACCTACTTAAGAGTAAGATTGCTACTGCACTAACGCAGGGAACCTCATGAAGGGATAAACTCTTAGTGGTTAAATCTTTTCTATCCTATACTTGCAGACCTCCAAGCATAGATGGTATTGATACTATATACTACAGCTCCTCCATCTGAAGCCAAGCAAATAAAAAGATGTTTTCACTGTCTTAAGCAAAGGCTTGCCCCAATAAGCTCATTTAAAATAACCTACACCTTTAAGAACAAATGTATTTTCTTCTATGTAAATCAAACTCCACTTTTGCCTGCTAGATCTGCCAATTTCAAAAAGCACTTTCTGTTTTTCAGTATTTCTGTTTCATAGTATTTAATTTTGAAAACCTTAAGCTTAACGTACACTGACAGAAACAGTGTGGGTCTTTATTGCAACTGAATGAAAATAAAGGTACATTCACGTTAAAAAAAGTAATTCTAAATTATGCCAACATGTTGATTTCAAGCTTTAGTTAGGTCAGAATTTTTTTCAGTAAATACAGTAGGTATTATATATGTATTGTCTCTTATGATTTTAATAACATTTTCTTTTTTATAGCTTACTTTATTGTAAGACTACATTACATAATACATATAACATAAAAAGTATGTGTCAACTGTTTATGTTTTTGGTAAGGCTTCCAGTCAGCAGTACAGTTTGAGTACTAAAGTTTTGGGGGATTCAAAAGTTATACATAGATGTTTCAAGTGCCAGTACTGGAGGATGGGGGGAGATAGGTGTCGGTTCCCTCACCCCTGCGTTGTTCAAGGGTAAATGTATAAGGCAAATGATATTGGGGTATACAAAAATTATGTAGTATAATTTAGAACATAAGCATTCTTAAAAGGAAAAGCGTAAGAAAATTACAGGGAGATGGAACCTAGATATTAATGTACATCTATTTCAAACTTTTTATTTTTAAAAACATAATAAGGTACTAGAATACATATTAAGCTATTTTGAAATCTTCACAAGATGCACTTCATGTATTCATTTGTACTGTGATTTTAATGATATAGAGAAAGAGAGAAATATAACATTATTAGATAAGTTACACATAACAATACAACTTATACTTACATGATGAAGTTGTGAAATCACCACTTCGGTGACTATAATCCATAAGATTACTAATGGAAGAATCTGCTCTTCTCTCTAAATCTCTTCTCTCTCTCATTAAGTCAGTTCCAAATGATCCAAGTACCATTGATGAAGATCTGGGAACTTGATTATGTCTCCATGAAGAATCTTAAAATAATTGAAGACATTTTAATTCAGAGAAAGCTTTCAAGGTTTCTGATGACCAATCTTCAGTATTACACAGGGAGGTTATTGTGATTTATTATAGGAATCTTCAAGGTTACACAGTTGCAATCAGAAGCAAAATTCAGCAAAATATAAAATTATTCTTAATGAACTCATCACTTATAAAATTATTTCCTACTCAGAAACACATTCTTCTCTAACACTAAAACCTACCACCCATCTATGATGCCAATGTCTCAGTCACTTTCTAGAACATCTGACCATACAGTGTAAACATAATGTAAAATAACTACAGAACAAAAATGCAAAGCTTGCTAAAGATGCAGAATTTCCTGAAAAGTCAATGAAAGTGATGTTGGAGAGAACAGCCAAAATCAAAATCAAGCCATCTCAAAATGGAAAATGTTTTACTACAGATACTGACAATATTTTATCAGAAATATTATCACTGACATCGCACTTGGTTCACTCTTATTCTAAGAATTAAAGTATTGTTGCAATCATAATCTTTTTAAATGAAATCATACCTAACAAAATACATTAAAGGTAAGTCTCACAACCTTGCCCCTATTTACCTTGAAAATTTTGGTTCTTCCTTTCCTAGTTCCAATAGCCTTATTGCTTCCTCCTCATTAAGGGAAATGGCCCAGGGTATTTAATGCTATGCCTTCACAGAGTAGAAGAGACCAAAAATATCTGGTGTTTCTCTACAGTGTTAAGCACAGTCTGCTCTTACCCATCACACTACTCTTAATATTCTTCAGATGGGCACTGTCTTTCCCAAGGAGGTCCTGTCTATCAAAATAGAAAGGAATCGCTTACACTACTTCAACTGATAATACATAAGCATTTCAAGAATTTTATCTTCCAACTGTGTCATCACAAATTCTGTCTCATCTTAAAACTACTTCAGGCATTCCCTGGTGTTTCATTTGAAGAGGAGTGTAAGTGTGAGGAGGGAACCTCTTGCCCTCTCAAGAAAAAGAAAGAGCTTTTCAATTTGTGCAACAAATGTGTGTCTGTGAGTACAAAATACCATGTATGGACCTTTATGGATAAGTCACCTAAATCCCAGAATGGTTAAGTGACTTGTCCAATGCCATATAGCTAGTTAGACGGCTAAAATCCCCACATTCAGATTCCTTATATAGAACTCCTACAAAAACACCAACTATTTTTGTTTAAAGAATTTCTGTTTTTGAAAAATAAGTATAGACCACAACATTTACAAAAGATATGCTTAGGATAGGAAATACTAATATGTATCAGTAAATTTGCCTTTCTAGTGTAACAATTACAAAACTGACTTCTTATATAATAACTGGCAAAATACATGACACTTTTACCAATTTGATTACCATGCGTATCAGCTATTCTAATTATTCAAAATATGCTAATCCTGTTTATGTCGGACATTTGTATCAAATTTAGAATAAAAATCCAAAACTAAGAGTTTATTTCAGTTGTAGCACTAACTTAAGGTAAGATTTGAGAAACTCCATTTGACCCACTATCTTACATGCATTCTACTTGCTTAATATCACTATGTCTTGGAAAAAGGGCTTTAGTCCAAAATGCATAGACAGTGACTCTTACACAGATTTAACTCTTACCTGATACTGCATTTAAACCATGTCCAGTATTTCTCCCGATTGAGGTAGATGTACAGTTTGTGCAGGAAAGTTTAGGTCTTTTTGAATCATGATCCCGTTGCTGGTTTTGTGATCTTGATCGTGCTCCCTGAGTTATCTCAGATTCACTATACCATGGAGACTGAAATGGTGATGCAGATGCTGATGCTGATGTAGACTGTAAGTTTTAAAAAAAAAAAAAGTGTTCTGATGGAACAACAGAATGCTGCTTGCATTCAGTCTATGAAATTTAATCCCCAATTTCATTCATTCCTCGTAAGCACAAATTGTTCTACCATGAAGGTTTTTCATAGTCTTTGTTCCTTTCTACCCACGTGTCTCTTTACTTTATACTGTAATTGTACTTTGCTGGGTAATCAATCAGATTTAGATTAAATCTTCCATGTAACTGTATATAATCACTTGGTTAGAAAAAAGTGAAGAACAAAAATCTTAAAATCATTTGTTTTCTTGGTTTAATATTTCAAACTCCTGAGGAACTGGTTTCCTATCCCTAAAGGACCAAGAAAAACACTAATATATAAACTTATTATGAAAACTGCTATAAAAACAGGATTTTTTTTTTTTTAAGATTCTATTTATTTGTCAGAGAGGGAGAGAGAGAGAGAAAGAGACTGAGCAAACTGGGGGCGCGGCAAGCAGAGGGAGAAGCAGACTCCCCGCTGAGCAAGGAGCCCAATGTGGAACTCAATTCTAGGACCCTGGGATCACGACCTGAGCCTAAGGCAGATGCTTAACCGTCTGAGCCACCCAGGCTTCCCCCCAAAAAAGGTTTTTCAAATAATAAAATTTCATCCTGCATCTAATGCCCATTCTCAGAAATACAGTCATTTATCACTAATAAATGGTATTTTTTTTAATTCTGATTTGAAAGTTTTTCATCAGTGAAGCAAGAAACAGATAAATGAGTACATATTAAACACAGTACATATTAAAACTCTTAACTCAAGGTTTTCTCCTTTAACACGTTAAGTATACACAAACAATCCATAACACAAAAATCACTCAGAACGTACAAACTATTTTACTTCCCCCTAATTTTTTAATTGGTTAAGCAATTTAGTCAATATAAGGCATAAAAAGGATAAGGATTAGTTTGTTCCCTTAAAAATGTAGGTTTAAATAATAAGAACATAATATTTCAACCATAATTGTTCAAAGTATCTTTTTCTTTAACGCTTCAATTACAAGAAGCATACTGCAAGCTTTCAGGGAACTATATATTAGTTCATGGTAACTCTACAGAATAAACTTTGCACACAAAGAAAAGCAGTCAAGATGCAAAGCTGAATAAGGAGGAGTGGGCCAGATCAGGATTTCATTCATCCCTTGAACAGAGAATATTTGGCCCAATGAATGTGGCTTCAGCTTAGTACAAACTTGGTCGCACAAGCCTTCCGCACCAAGTCCTCCACAGAGCCTCAATCAATCAACTGGAGTAGCATTAGAGATAAAATTCATTAGATATTTCAAAACCAAACCATCTTATGTGCCATAATTAGGGTATTAGGGACCATGTGCTATAGGCCAGTGATTCTAAGACCTCTGAATTTCAGAGACTAAAATAAAAATGTTTCAATGTAAAATTTAGAAAGAATTGCCGCTTTTGACAAGTAAATGAAAATTAGCAAATACCATCTAATCCCACCCCCCGTTTTTAAAAGGGGCATTTTAGGGGCGCCTGGGTGGCTCAGTCCTTAAGCGTCTGCCTTCAGCTCAGGTCATGATCCCAGGGTCCTGGGATCGAGCCCCACATCGGGCTCCCTGCTCCGTGGGAAGCCTGCTTCTCCCTCT